TCGATATTATAAAATCTGCCCCTGAATTTATGAATCATGGAGGCAATCAGCCTACTATGCTTATGGGCTGTTTAAACCTTTTAATGGTAGCTATGCTCACTATGAAGCTGTCACAATAATTGGAGAAAAGGTCAGAGGGGCAACAAGAGCAGTTATAGTGTCGCACACTACAGTGATTCATTTTGCTTAATATCTAGATTAGATTGCTTCTATCCCACACCCTTAAAGTATAATTAATGGCGGTACTCCGTCGTCAAGACTACACTGTAATCTTCATAAGACGAATACCATCGCTAGACTACTTGCATCGTTGCACCAGCACTTGAAAAACGTGAATACTTATTATATTCACATATATGACCATTAAACAAAAACTCTGTGAATAATTTAATGGCATTAAAAATATGTTGCTCATTACAAAATCCGTTCCATTTTTCTTTAACGGCAAAAGAATACAGACCAGTTATTGCTTAATATCATTGCTATTACCGCAATTAACCAGACAAATCACTCCACGAACTGAGAACGGCCATAGGGACGAAATCAAGTTCTCCACCGTTATCGTCATAACACGTATATTATCGCTGGACCAAGGGACAATAGTATAACTATTATATTCAGAAATATAAACATTACAACTTAACTTTTTAACAAACAACAATTCTGTAATTAATTGAATGACATTTTAAAATTTTATATCGTTCAATACATAATTCGTTCTTTGTTTTTTAAACAAAAAAGTACCGACCTGTTATTAAGAAATCTCATTGCTATTATCGAAATTTCAAATCACTCCACGCACCACCACCAACAACACCGCTATCGATTTGAGATAGCCATCAATTTTGCTTACACACTTATGTTGGCATACTGGTGCTAAGTTTTGCCGTGTTCAGTCAAATTATGCTTTAGTTTCCCGCGAAGCCGCTGACCCATAGCTTGACACAATTGTGTCGCATCGCTTATCGTTTATGAGTAGAACAGTTGGGCGGCAGTATCTCTTGTTTCCTTACGTCACAAGTATGTCTATTGAAAGAAATTATAAATACACCACCATATATTAGTTTCTTCAATTAAAACACTTCTATATACCTAAACAATGTTGCGAAATGTCTTCGGCTTTACATATTTTTTAAAAGCATGGCATATGGCACATTGCACAAAAAGTACATATAATTACAAATGTTAAACATTTTTATAGATAAAATTATATATTCAGGTTCTTACAATTATATAACTTATGTACTATTTGGATAATGAGCAATACATCTGTACAAAGCTTGTATATATACACTCTTTGGTTCATATACACGTCATTTATTTCCACTTAAAACATATATAAACAGCAAGTAAACTTCCAGTTTCACCTTACAATAATCAGGTAGAGCCCAGAGCTTTGCTTTAGCCAAGCTCAGAGCCCATAGTCAAGCACACAACCAAGTAATCAATGGCGCAATCCGAGTAGAGCTTAGGTCTAGCAAATAAGGTTTCAGTCTCAACTAATAAGTCAGGTACAGAGCCCAAAGCTTTGCTGTAGCCAAGCTCAGAGCCCATAGTCAAGCACACAACCAAGCAATCAATGACACAAGCCAATTGCAAGCTTTAATCTTTAATCTTTAAACCCACATCCTTAAAGTATAATTAATGTCGTTACTCCGAAGTCAAGTCCGCCACCGTAATCTTCATAAGACGAATACCATCGCTAGACCAGTCACATCGTTGGACCAGCACTTGAAAAACGTGAATACTTATTATATTCACATATATGACACATATATTAAACAAAAACTCTGTGAATAATTTAATGACATTAAAAATATGTTGCTCATTACAAAATCCGTTCCATTTTTCTTTAACGGCAAAAGAATACAGACCAGTTATTGCTTAATATCATTGCTATTATCGCAATTAACCAGACAAATCACTCCACGAACTGAGAACGGCCATAGGGACGAAATCAAGTTCTCCACCGTTATCGTCATAACACGTATATTATCGCTGGACCAAGGGACAATAGTATATTATATTCAGAAATATAAACATTACAACTTAACTTTTTAACAAACAACAATTGTGTAAATAATTTAATGACATTAAAAATGTTATATCGTTGAATACAAAATTCGTTCTTTTTTAAAGACAAAAAAATACAGACCTGTTATTACTAAATCTCATTGCGATTATCGAAATTACAAATCAGTCCACGCACCGCCACTAACACTGCTACCGATATGAGATAGCCATCAATTTGGCTTACACACTTATGTTGGCATACTGATACTAAGTTTTGTCGTGTTCAGTCAAATTATACTTTAGTTTCCCGCGAATTGCATCGCATCGCTTATCGTTTATGGTTAGAACACTAGGGCGGCAGTAGCTGTTGTATCCTTATGTCACAAATATGTCTATTGAAAGAAATTATAAATACACAACCATATATTAGTAAAATTTTTATACCGTTCAATACAAAATCGGTTCTTCTTTTTAAAGGTAAATAAGTACTGACCTGTTATTACTAAATCTTATTGCTATTATCGAAATTCAAATCACTCCACGCACCGCCACAAACACCGCTATCGACTTGAGAAAGCCATCAATTTTGCTTACACACTTATGTTGGCATACTGGTGCTAAGTTTTGCCATGTTCAGTCAAATTATGCTTTAGTTTCCCGCGAAGCCGCTGACACTTAGCATGACACAGTTGCATAGAACACTAGGGCAGCAGTATCTCTTGTTTCCTTACGTCACAAATATGATTATTAAAAGGAATTATAAATACACGACCATATACCATATATATTAGTTTCTTCAATACAAACACTTTTCTATATACCTAAACAATGTTGTTGCAAATGCGTTCGCTTAAGTTAGACTTAAAACTGTCCAAGAATTTCACATTTCGCATCGTAAAACTGCAGTCTGTTAATCATTACCTCTCGATCTTCGTCACAAATATATTTATTGAAAGAAATTAAAAATATACTTGACTCATTTAATACAAAATCCGTTTCTTTTTTTTTGTAACGGAAAAAAGAATACAGCTCAATCTCATTGCTATTACAAAAACTTAAACAGACGCATCACGGTCAAATTATGCTTTGGAATCCCGCAAAGCGAACGACACAGTTGCATCGAATCGTTTATCGTTTATGGTTAGAGTACTAGGGCGGCAGTATCTCTGGTTCGCCTGTGAACATCTAATTTTGTTCCTCTCGATCTGCGTCACAAATGTGTTTATTGAAAGAAATTAAAAAAATATACTACCATTTTACTGGCACGCATATTTATTAGTTTCTTTTATAAAAACACTTTTTTATACCTAAACAATGTTGCGAAATGTCTTCGGATTTACATAATTTTTAAAAACATGGCACGACACACAAATTGCTTACAATTACAAATATTAAACATTTTTAGATACATTATACATTCAGCTTCACTCATTGCTATTACAAAAATTAACCAGATACATCACATCGTTTTTCGTTGGAACACTAGGGCGGCATTATCTCTGGTTCGCCTTCGCCTGTGAACATCTAACTTTCGTTCCTGATTAATGAAAACATGATTGGCAAATGCTTTCGCTTGAGTTAGACCAAAACTGTCCAAGAATTTCACCTTTCGCATCGTAAAATTGCAGTCTGTTAATCATTACTTCTCGATCTGCGTCACAAATATATTTATTGAAAGAAATTAAAAATATAATACCATAATTGTTAAAAACTTGGCACGACCCACAAATTGCATACAATTACAAATATGAAACATTTTTAGAGAGAACATTATACATTTAGATTCATTCATTGCTTATAATTACAAATATTAAACCATTTTAATCATTTAATCATTACCTCTCGATCTGCGTCACAAATATGTTTATTTAAAGAAATTTAAATAATATACTACTTCTTTAAATACAACTTCTTTAAAAAAAAAAACATTTCTTTATGCTTTAACAATGTTGCGAAATGTCATCGGATTTACATAATAACTGTCCAAGAATTTCACATCTCGTGTTGTCTTTTCCGTCAGTTCTATCATATATAGCATACAAAATAATCTATGATTATAAACAGGTAATCTACGCAGTCAACGACCAGCAGGTAGTGCAATAGAAATAGATAAGAGCATATGTTTAAAATAAAGAATTAGGTATGTCAACGCTGAGTATTACAAACGAAGCAATATATGCCCGACTAGGAGATACCCCGACCCCAGTCCTATCTGCTTTTTTTATTTCTATAGTTTGTATCGAGTATTAAAACAAACCAAATAAAAACTGACAGATTCGAGCCCACATTGTCTACGCAGAGCGTGTCAACTCTACCAACACTGCCACTACATAATTTAAAAATTAGCGTTGAACCCAGAACCTCTTGGCAGCGAGTGCCGCCTCCATCAACATCGGTACTACTCTTCTAATCTAAAATGTTTCCATTCTCAACTAAAGTGGCAGCTGACAATTCAAGCACAATTTAATCGCAAATTCGATTTTTATATGTAGATCATATACATATGTAGCGCTGGTTCGTGACGTCGTGCTACTACGCGCTCTGTCGCAAGACGGCGCTGATCATCCTTTGATTTTCTTGACACACTGTATGGGAAATGTGCGTAAGCTTGGCGCTGCTTCCCACGTGCTTTCGTAAATTGGCCAACCGTTTTGTTTACTACTATTTTTATGTTACTTAATGGGTTTTAATGAAAAGCATGTGATGTACATTTTCAGCTGAGTCAAAATGCACTGCACGAAATATAATTATCATGTTTTTCATCGATAACAATAAAACGGGAATGGTTATCAATTATATTAGGTAAACTTGATATGCGCGTGACATACACGGATCAAAAGTCTCTAGCTCTTACAGATGCTGAGATCGACGATAGTCCGCAACTATCAAAGAGCTATCGAATCATCACCAGTCTCTGTAGTCATGATGAGAGTGAGACATCGCCAACTTTCAATTGATTAAATTTATATAAATGTATTTATAATCAAGCTGCAAAACTGAAAATCATTTATGTATTTGCTTGTTACCTATGATAGTTAAATTAAAAACCATAGGTTATGGAACAGCGAACGTGATTCTAATTTACGATTTAATTCTTGAAATATTAATTTAATGATAAATGAATGTCCCACTGTTACCCTTAGGTCGTGCATCACTGAACAAGCTAAAGGAATACATTGCAGAAGAGGGCTATCCACAGGTGCTATTTGATTTGGGGCGCAAACTGCTGGATAATGCAATAGGTATGTAGTAGCCAACGCCGTTGAATGCCATTGATATCTGTATATCGCAGAGTTCAATATGGCCCATGAGACTCAGCGCTGCTCAACAAGGCCATAAAGATGCAGTGTGTCTGCTGCGAAAATGCTACAATGCTGGTAATGGCATTACGACGGTGCGTCACTGTCTGGCCATGATGGCGGGTGTGCGAGCCTCAAGGAAAGCAGCTCGCGAGCTCTCCGAATGTCTGTTCAATGGCAACGAGCCCATTACGCCCAAAAATGCGACGCAGTTATAATTTACAACGCAAACGATGCTATAACCATAGGCTGTGCAAATGTAGAGAGCCGTTGCTTTATAACCGATGCGCATCTGGTACCGGCTGCCTCAAACATTTCAGAGTTTGGATCACTTGCCCTGTTTTACCGCTTGATCTTTCGTCCGTTGGTTTTCCTTACGTTGCCTACCATCGATTTTTTACCTATAAGTGTACGTTGTAGCCTACTCGTGTTGCTGAGTTGGTGGAGCACCGTACAAAATATTGAACGTCATATGCTGTCGATGATTAGTCTATGTCTGGGCGTCATGCTGTGGTCTACGTGTTTCTTGTGGCCGTTTTGTTTACTGTGAAATTGCTAGCCAAGTTTCCGTATTAATTGGACGAAATTGTTCTGCCTTCATTGTCGCACAGCTCTCTACCTACGGATACCTATCCTACTAGTGCTCCGGACTAAACGCTCTAACTGGTATAGCGTGTACAGTTACCTAATTCCACACTGTGTCAGTCTTAGTTGCATTGTAACCTCATAGAGCGCCACAGTGATTAGTGCAATGCGTGCAGCTCTCGTCCTAGTTGGTGGCCAAGGTGGACTTTTACTGCATCGCCGGATCTAGGCAGTGTGAACATGTAGCGTATGCTTGTTGCCGGTGGATGCATCCATGCAGGATCTGATGCGATGCATAAAGCATTTGTTGAATGCCCTACTGAGTCCATCAATAACATTTAAATAGACATCCAAATAGCTATAAATATTATTGATTATAAGCCGTTTTATTTTTATTTGACTTGTTAATTTATTCCATTAGTATAGTGGGTGTAACCTCATATATTGCTAATGAGATCGCCAACTTTATGTTTAGCCTCCGAAGGATCATCCTGCTGCTGTATACTCATCCAATTCGAAAAGCTGACCGAATTGCAAATGTAGACAAGCGACTCACGTAAAATTTGCTGTTATTATTAACATCACGCTGATTCTCCCAACTTTACTCAGCCTCGATGAAATCAGGTTTAATATATTTATAATATTTAAAATTAATATAAAAAATATATATATTAGATTCTGATATGAGGTATAATAAACGATAATTGGGAAAATGACGTGCATTTGTCAGTGCGATGAGGCAATATACATCGATATTTCGTGCTATCATCACTAGTGCAGAGTGTATTTAAGTGCCGTTGCACACGACTGCCTGGGCAAAATAGCAACAGAGACCGACGATTGCGATAGTCAGGGCAGTCAACGTAGTCGTCACTTATCAACAAAGCTGAAAAGAAAAATTCTGACAAGTAACAGCAACATGATTCCAACAATAACGAAAAACTATCAGAATGTGGTCATCAGCACGGGTAACATCATCAATAATGAGTTGGGACAGCGGAAGTCCAATGAGGAGCTGTACGATGGATTGAAAATCACCCTGCACAGTGATCCTAATTCAGAGAGCGTGGTGGTTGAAGTTGACCAGCGGCATGGCCGCGTGCTCTGTGCTACACAGGAACTGAATAGTCGACTAACAGAGAATGGACGCAATGAGATTAGCATTGGTGCAAAAATATTCCTCAACAAAAATTCGACAGAATGCATCAATCAGGCCGTCGAAGCGTTGCTCAACATACTCAATGTGACGCATGTAGACAACGTGGTGCTGGCTTACCATCCCAATGTCTCTGCCGTTGCCAGCGCAACAACACTAGCCACAACAGCAAAGAGTCCCTGCTCAGAGGGGAGCAGCGACAGCGGAAGCAGCTCCAGCGTTACTGATGCGGCCAACAGTTGGAGCGCACGTAACGGCGTGCAAGGCATAGCAGACCTAAAGTTACTCTACAAATGCTTGGAGCAATACGCATTTAAACATAAAATCAAACAGTTGGGTGTTGCCGATCTCGATGGAAAGACTTTGGCTGAGCTATACAAATCGGCTGAGGTGGTGCCCACCATAGCACAGGTAAATCTGGCCACCTGTTGCGTAGTGCCAGCTGAACTTCATGAATTTTGTCGCGAACATGAGTTGGTACTTAATACACACAGCGATCCAGAGCTGCTGTTGGCTGAAGAGCAATTCGCATGCTTGGCCCCCGGCTATACAATCGATTGGTGTTTGCGCTACCAAGTGCATGTCCGCTGTCGTAGCGTCCTTACTGCCAAGGGCTATATAGTGGGTGCCTCCCAGCCGAGCACTGATAATTAGAAGCGGAATGGAAGGTTGGCATAGCCTGAAGCTAAGCTGAACTTTTAATATATATAAATAAGTATTTGTGTGTATGCATGTAATACTGTACTTATTGTTTGTTATACAAAACCCACGATCGAGATGAGAACAGAAGTGAGTGACACTCCGCAGCGAGTGAGTACTTCAAACGATTGGATTGTGAACTGTCTTTCTGATTTTTTTTTTTGCTTTGAATATAAACAGTTACTGAAACCACTAAATTTTTGTTTTGTTTCTATCTAGTTTTTCTCAACATACAATAGGACGAAAGATCATAGCTGGTAACCGGCTTGTGTAATTGTAATACAATATAAACGTAAATATATACGCATGCATGAGTATTATACAAATCCCTTGAACAAGCGCCAACAGTCGTGTAATCGGTAATCGTTATCGTCAGCTTGCGGCTGAGCCTTTCAGAATTTCTTTTCTCTGTCTAGGCTTATTGTCGACTCTATAGTCCCGCACCGATCACGTGGCTTCGCTGATTGTCATTTAGTATAGATTAATAAAATTTAATCGCTTAGCAGGGAAATTTATTTGATTTGCTATCTGCTAGGAAGTTGCACAAGTGCAACAGGGTGACACTTCAATATGCCATAAGAGTTAAAAAAGTAAAAAAATAGCGAAATATTTATAACATGAACTTCAATAATTTATTCCAGGCCTAATCAGCAACCACTTGAACATTTTAGCAGTTATAAATGGCTGCATACATATATACGTATATGCACAGTGTAGTCGATCTGACAATACCCTAGATGGGCGGCCTTGTCACTAAATGTTTATCCATGTATCTTATAAAAATATACATACATAAGAGTATGTACGTAACACACGTACATAATTACATACATATGTAATTACATATGTATGTGTAATTATATATATATAATAAGTCTATAAAACGAACATACAATTGTATATTTGTAATAAGCATTTCACAGCAACAACTACGAGCAACTACAACTGTCTAAAAACAATATAATTATAACAAAATTACTGCTGCGCTGCTCGATGACTTGCGTTTCCAGATTATATGTAAGTGGAGGGGACTCCGCTATATAACGTGCGGGTGAGTCAGGCAAATATTGAGCTAACGATCTTCTTGGGTTTTTGTGTGTGTGTACATACATGTATGTGCTTGTGAGATTGTGAATGACTGTGTGAAAGTGAGAAATAAGTATAAGGGTGGCATTCAGCTATTATATTTGCTTATATGTATATATGTATATTTAGCTATAAATGGTTGAGTTTGTGTGTTAGCGGAGTATCATCCGGGGAGTGCAGAAAATAATTTAGACAGTTTCGTTTTGGTTCGTGTAAACGAAAGAGAGACACAAAATGGCCAGAGAGAGCGAGGTATGAGTACTGGAATAATAATTGCAATAAGTTTCGAAATATATCAGTTAACCGTAGATAGGATGGAAGTGCCTGGAAGTTTTTATTATCAGTTATCAGAGAATTTCGCTGTGATTCAATTACGGTAAATGCAGTAATTCACTGGGTGAATATTTAATGTGATCGTACTTAACCAATATATTAAGCTCCTTTTAAGTTATATAATACAAGTGATGCATGCTTTTATAAGGATTATTAACACACCTATTTCGCACCTCAGGTCGCATTTTCCAGAGGAAAATGTAACTTTAGATATAGTAACATTATATGAATAATTAGATTGTCTATATATGCTATATAATTTACTATCAAACGAAAATAAAAGTGTACGCCACCATGAGCCATCATGATTTGACTCCTACTCCAATAGTTGTTTGCGAGTGACAGGTCTAAAACTGAACAATTCGATCTCAATTGTCATCTAGTTACAGAATTCCAGAGGGATGGGATGCATTTGAATAATTTTATTGGCCAATTGACACGTTTTCTTTAATTACTTCTGTGTTATAGTGATCCTATATATTTCATTATGTGAAATATCATATAAAATAATGCATACTTGAGCATAAATTGGGTGAACTATAAATTGGGTGAACTATATAGCCAGAAGGACAGACAGACTCGAATCAACTCGACTGTTGTTATGAGATCGGTCATGCCACCTTCTTACAATTACATACATTTTAGCAAAGCCATTAATTCCTATTGTCAATTGGCTCAGAGCATAACAACAATTGGAGCGCAAATAATAGAATCTTCATCTTAATCGGAGAAGAAATAATCACAACCAAATGATGACTTAAAATATAACATACTGAGAGGATTGATAACATGATTATATTATAATTCAATAAGTTTCTAATCAGATAATAAGATAACGCCATTAACAGTTAAGTTAAGTCTTTATTTAGATTAATTGAATAAGTATTCTTCGTCTTCTTCTTCCTTCTAGCACAGTTATTTGTTCTTTATAATGTCTATATTTGTGTAATTTAATTGTATAGTTAACGGATACCAAAAATATACACGGAATTGTTTCAAATTAATGTTTCCGTTTTGTTTTTGTATTTCTTTTTTTTTTTAATTTTTTAACATCATTTTGGATAAGGATTTACTTGATAAATCCTTTTGTTAAGTTGCTTTTATACAACAATTCTATTAAACGTTTACCGAACATTAAATATTTATATATTATATAATATATATTTAAATAAATATATATGTGCTATATAGACTATACTCCTATTCGGCATTTCAAATCTTAATCAAGTAAAGATACAATTAGATTGCGTCATAAAAAGTAATTCTACTCTGTAAACAATCTCTTTGGGGAACGGACGGCGACTTTTATACTCAATTTTGTTGAAGTAGTTTGATCCTTCACTAAATAACAAATACAACTAATTTAAAATAACAAAATTCGTTGCTATATCTGGCTCTTGTTTATCATTTTGACAGCTGACCATTTAAGATTTTATTCTTGGGCTAAGCTAATTACAATTACAACCCATGTTCGTTGATTTGGGGTTTTTTTTAGTTAATCCAAAATAAAAATGTTTATCAAAAAAGGTTTAAAAAATATATACAAAAAATTTGTACATAATACTTTCTCTGTTTTTGTTGTTGTTGGTCTCATTTTGAGTTATAAATTGTCATATCTATATCAATACAATATACATATAATATTATATTATAATGGACTCTGGCTATTTAGTTATATAGCTATATATAGCATTTCTAAATATAATAATTTTGGACAGTTTGGTTCAAAGCTTGGAATATAGAGTATATGGGTACAGTTCATAGGGTTTAGCTACTTACATATAGAATGGATGAATTACACATATACATATATATATAGCATAATACTCTTGTTTATAGACAAATAACATATGGAAGCTTCATTTTATAACAACAATGCAAATTGTTCATCTTTTCCAATATCTACTTTTTCTAAATAAATAATTACTATAAATCACTTCCAATCTGAATTTTATATATATATATATATATATATATATATATATATATATATATATATATATATATATATATATATATATATATATATATATATATATATATTGACTTTTAAATTTAAAATAAGTAAAAAAGATCTAGTCGGTTTGTACGACTAGGAGATACCCTGATCCCAGTTCTATCTGCGTTTTTGATAGTTGTAATATTATGTATCGAAGATTAAAAAAAGCAAGTAAAAACCGACATTACGACACATTTCCGACGCATCATCGTTATCCTGGCACAAACCGCCGTCATCTACAAGCGCCGCCTCAGCCAAAACCATCATTGCACTGCTTGCTCAAGAAGTTGCAAACTCAACTTGAGTAGCAGCACAATTTGAAGCTGGTATCCAAAATATAACAAAAATCTAAATTATAGAAACTATACATAAAGCAAATACAACATTTTGAGTTAAGAGCTAGAAGATATAATTTAATAATAATAATTTACAAGATATAATTTAATAACTGCATATAAATAACAATAAAACTGGATCAGTTATCCATTATTTGAAACAAACTTGATATGTGCGTGCTATACAAGAATCTCTAAAAATAAATGTTAAGTCTCTGACATACGGACAGATGAACAGGGCTAAATCGACTCAGCTCGTGTTCCTGATCAAGAATATATAAGCTACCACGCCTCCTTCTCATGTTACATATATTTTAACAACACCATTATACCCTGATTTTCCATTTTCAATGGGATGAGGGCATAAAATGCGGTCCACTTTTGTGCGGTTAAAATTGTAAGAATATAATCAACAAATTAGGTTTAAATATATATATATATATATATATATATATATATATATATATATATATAAATATATATATATATATATATAAATATATATATATATATATATATATATATATATAAATATATATATATATATATAAATATATATATATATATATATAAATATATATATATAAATATATATATAAATAAACTTAAACATATATAAACATATGCATATATATATGAAGATTTAGGTTTTTGTGTGTTATTTATAGTTATTTAAAATATAATATTTTATTACAATCTCTTAGATATATGTGTATATCATAATTTCCTTTACTCATTTAACATACATATGTAGGCGATTCAGTCTAATTTGGGGAATTGGTCGTCAAACTTAAATGGGGACTCTAAAGCAAACAGCAAATCGAAAGGCCAACAATAATAATCATGGTTGCATATTGGTGTGTGCTTATGAGGAAACATTTTGGTTGTAACTAATTTCCTCCGATCTAAAGACTTATTTAACGAATCATTAGCAAATATTTTTGGTTACGCATACATCATTCAAAGTAATATTTGAAACTAGTTCTTCTAAGTTACATAAACGGATTTGGCATTGTGGCATTTTGCTATTATTCGGAAATATTTTATTTTTCCTATATATCTTTTCAGATTTCTAATAGATATTCAAAGATTAGTTGGATAATTATTTGGGGAAAAATTTATATCTACTCACTATTATGTAGTTATATATTTTCCGGGACTAGTTCTTTCTACTGAATAACAATCTATTGTAAAATCAAGGTGATATGAAAATGAGACAAGAAACATTGTGCAAAAGATATTGTGGTGACACGCCTCTAGACATAAAATTGTAAAGTCTTTATCTGATCATGGATATATGTATGTATCATGGATATATACATGTGCGCATATATACCAAATTTCCAGTCATGGCGGCCAGAAAGATGAAAACCAAATATACCTATGAATTCACTTTCAGATCTTAAATCAAATGAGATTTACGATTAGAGTGTTCAATAGCAGCGAGCAGCTCGTGCTTCTGTCTCACGTAGAGGCGACCCTTCTTCCAAGGACTCTGCAGCTGAAGGGGTTTAAAGTCATCTCGAAGGCAACGCTCACGAGCGCCAATGACGGCGACAAGACAGAAGTTGTCGAGCATATCGGCATTATAGATGGGTCCTTTGCTTCCCTTTAATACGGCTGCCATGTTCAGTTGCTTAACAACCAAATTAATCACTTCTCTGGCCGTCGTCTTTGGCGTCACGTGAAGTTTGAGGCTGGTTCCGCTGGCCAGACCTGTGTTGTAGGCGGTGTACACCTGAATGATGCCAGCACCTGTACTGCTGATAGCCTGCTCTGCATTTAAGCTGGAATAGCTGGCACTGTCCTCTTCGCTGCTTTGATGGGTCAGGCTCTTGGTGGAGGAGGTCTTCGAAGTGCTAGGAGCCATGGAAGTTAGCTCATCGCTGCTTGGAGGCTTCAGCTCTGCCGGAGAGCTCTTCAGATAGAGTCCACCCTCACGCAAATTGACGCTGGATGCAGCCTTCAGCCTATACTCCGCGGCTGATGGCTTTAGTGTTTTTTGCTCCAAATCTCCTGCAAAGGCGGAGATACTGCCGGCTAGATACGGCACTGAACTGGAGCAATGTACGGTGATGAGGGGTGTGGGAATGGATCCAGTGTGAGAGCTGGTGCGTTTACGCTGTGCCGCTGTAGTAGCTTGCGAATGACGTAGTGCATCCGCCAGAGTATCATCGGAGTACGAAGGAGGCAGAGCAAACACGCAGTTGCTGCCATCGGATGCAAAGCTGCGTGCGGTATAGGCGGAACTAACAGAGTCGCCGCTGTTCTTACGTAGCGACACATCCGAACAGGTGGAAGCAGTATATTCACTGACACCCACCTGGAGTAGTTGAGACTTCTGTTCTTGGTGCTGCTCTTTTAGTGGCTGCTTGTTGCCTGCTTCAGAAGGGGTGGCTTGTGCCGTGCTGGGTGTCAGTTCGCGCTGACCCAAATTCGTTTCAGACTTCGAATGCTCTGGAATGTTGCTTGACTTGTCCCCATCTTCATTGACGCCTGGACCTGGCCAGCTACCGCGACCCGTCTTGCTGAATCGGGATTCGCGATGTGGCAGATGCAGCAATTGTTTCTCCTGATCCTCGACAAACTTCAGTAACTCGCGTATAGCTAAAACTGGATGAGCATGCTTATTTCGAGCATATGCAACCACATCCATTAGCCAGCGCACGCTTTTCCATACGATCGTAAGATTCGAGCTGAGGTCCTGCAGTGTGGCTAGACGCTCTTTGGCCGCTTGCAGTTCGCTGTTAGAGAAGGCCTGGCGATGCGAATGTGTGGCTAACGCAGTGTCCAGTTCGAGGATGCAGGAGAGTCGCGCGTATTTCTGCACAATAGCCGGCTGGTAGGTACGCAGATGTATCATCTCGAAGGCTTGGATACTCAGGCTGACGAAGTCATTGCGCTGTAGCAGCAGCTCCGATTGGCCAGGTACAGCACAGGATGCCTCCACCGAGGGACAGACGATGAGGAAGCTAATGTCACGACTATGCTCGATTACCTCCACATCATAAAGGCGATGCGTTGCAGCTTCCGTTGGCTTAATGCTCATCCCGTCGAACAGCTTATGCATTGCTGTACTGAGATCGTGTAGGAAAAGACACTGCACTTCATTGGCTTGGCCGTTGTCATTGCCATTATTATCGCTGGGTACACTAAAGTCAAGAGGCAGTCGTATTGATTTGCTGTCCTTTATGCGATGCAGCACCTGCCACTCCTCGGCGGTAATGTGGCTATTCTCACGAACTTTGCAATGGGGCAGTACATTGGGCGTCTTTACCGGCACCACCACCTGTATCTGATCCATCGAGCACTGCATCTTCAGATAGCCCAAATAGAGGCCTGGGTCAAGCCGTTGCAATGCTGCCTGTTGATAATGTAGCTGCTCGCCAATGCTTGAGATAAGCAGCTCGTTAATGGTATAATCCTCGTGCAGAGCCCCCAGCTTTTTTTTTAGCTTGTTAACAGGTAGCCAGCGTGAATTTATAATAGATACAGCCTTCTGACTCTTCACCGACTGTATGCAGGTGAGGACTACTGTGCCCTGTGCATCTCGAAGGGGTTTATAGTACAGCTGGCCAAGATCCATAATGCCTAGTGCAGATTGCATCTGGCAAACGGCCGACAGTAGCTTGGTGCGAAAGTGGACGGGCGAACTGAGATTCCGTTCCATGTCCGCACGCAAAGATTTCACATCCTCCCATGTGCATGCAACTTTCATCAGCCAATAGTAGTCCATGTGTAGAGCACTCGGATAAGACTCATCGATTTCAATAACGGGCGGAAAATCCTCGCTAGTCACCAGTATTTTCTCATCGCAGTGCACAATACACGAGAAGTAGATGCCACTGTTGAATATATTTTGGGTATACATATATTCTGCTAGTTGCTCTTGAAAATTAGATAATTTCTAGGCGTCTTACCGTCGCAGCGTCTTCTGGAATTTAGAGGTGACGGAAAACAGCTGCTTAATAGTAGTTTTCTTTTTGGGATTGCGTCGCTGCACGTTGCAGGGATCTAGCGTTAGCTCAGAGACATCTGCAGGTCGAGCCAAACGCACTGCCGCGAACAGATTGTCCAGTATGCATTGGCAGCCATAAGAACGATCCTCTCGATTTTCTAAGTCCCGCCAAGCTATTAACAAAGCAAAAGTAAAGCAATGCAAGTAAGAATTATAATATACATATAAGTATAAAGTATATTATTTAAGTGTTAGGAAAATAAGCAGCATATAGCTTTCCATGTGTATATATTTTTATACCCTGATCCCATTGAAAATGGGATCTAAGGGTATAATGGTTTTGTGCAAATGTATGTAACAGGCAGAAGGAGGCGTGGCAGACCCCATAAAGTACATATATTCTTGATCAGGACGACAAGCCGAGTCGATTGAGCCCTGTCCGTCCGTGTGTCCGTATGTGTGAATGCGTGGATCTCAGCATCTATAAGAGCTAGAGACTTGAAATTTTTTTGTAGGTCCGTGTATAGCACGCGCAGGTCAAGTTTGTTTCAAATATTCGATAACTATTCGAATTTAATTGTTATCGAATAAAAACATAATTGAAATGCAGTAAATAAATTATATCTCGAACATCTTAAGAGCTAGCGCCTCCAAATGTTGTATTTAGTCTTATGTATATTTTTTGCAATTTTGGTTTTTGTTGGATTTTGGATACTGGCTCCAAATTTCCCCAAATTCTTCAAGTTTAAGTTTAGTTGGAATTAGTGCCATTATGTGAAATCGTTTGCATCTCAACCAAGCCAATAGGATATGTAGATCATATGCTATTGGTAGAGTTGGTGCACGTTGCGCACATAATCTGGGTTCGAAACCTGGTCTCGCAATGTCGATTGTTATTTGTTTTCTTTTTTTTTGAATACTCGATACAAACTACGGAAAATATTAAAAAAACTCAGAGGACTGGGATCAGGGTATCTCCTATTCGGGCACGCCGACTAGAGCTTTCTTACTTGTTTGTTTTTTAATTATGAAGTGGCGGTGTTGGTAGAGTTGATGCGCGTTGCGTAGAAACGTAATGTCGGCTTTTATTTGTTTTTTTTTTTTTTTAAATACAGATCGGACTGGGATCAGGATTTCTCCTAGTCGGGCACCCCGACTTATTTAACTTCTTATTATCTTCTTCCACTTTACTCAGCTGACGGTTTGAGTTCTCCCTATGAATAAATCGTGAGCTTTTTACTTACTTGAGGGCACAACGCTCGCAGGCACCGAGTTGCGGTACCTACCCCAACCCTTAACATTGCCGCAGGCACCGCGTAGGAAGTACCGTCGTCCTTGGGTGAGTCCAGCTATGTGGCAATGGGCGCCCATGTTGCCGTGGAAGCTAATCCATTCGAACAGTTCCCGCTCGCCGACGACATTGCTAAAGTCGGCGCGTGTTGACCATTGAACTGTAGAAATAATGAACGTATACACGGGGGTCAAGACGGTATCAAAAATAAAATTCCTGTGGAGCGGTCGCAGCTTACTTTTAAATTTGGTGGCGATGGCGCCTTCGAAAGGTTCGAGTATTTGCAAGCTGATGGAAGTGTCACCAGTGACATCGACAACAACAGAGGCAGGCGCATCTGGTAGTCGGGTCTGGTCCCAGCCTAGCAGCATGCGACGTAGCCCCTTGACCCTTCGCTCCGAAATACCAATCTGCTTGTCCACCTCGTTGCCCGTGCAACCGGTGACTGAGGAACCAGCATTGCCTGCAGCCGAAATCACAATGAAAGTAAAATCGAGTATCGAAGGTGAAGTGTACTTACCAATTATAATGCTAGATATTGAAGGACGTGAGGTGAAGATGGGTGTACAGAGACCTTCTGGTCCACTGAGATCATGAATGCGGGTCTCGGCGTCTTTGAGCAGGCCATTCAGCTTGGTGCCAATGCTATCTGCGGAAACTGTTTATGTTTAAAATATAAATATATAAGTTTTATATAAATTATAGTTATTTTGTCTTACATTGTGAGCCCTGCAGAGCGCCATGCTGCAGCAACATCTTGGTCATTGAGCGATTGTTGCTCAACACGGCTACATCTAGTGCCGAGAGGCCATCTATATTGATGCTGGAGGTCAGGGAAAATATATACATTAAATATTTAAATGATTTAAAAAAAAAACCAAAATTAAATACGATTAAAAGAACGGATTAACAAAAGTGCCGAAGCAGGAAGAGGAAGAAGAACCCCAGAAGACGAATCTCATATTTCTATGAGGATCCAGATATATTTCCGTAGTCTGAGCATAAGTCGATATTTTTAGTCATAATTACTATAAGTTAAGAACTTCGGTTTTCTGCGCTTACTTCTTGTTCTTGTTTAAGCAACCTTGACTAGTCTATTATTTTGGATTTATTGTAGGCTTAATAAATTTGTAGGAAAAGAATAGAGACTTACCTATTGATATCTACATCGGTGGATTCGAGTATGGTTCGTGCCTTCTCCAAATGTCCATTCTCCACCGCCGAGAAGAGGGCTGTGAAAGAGCAAAGTGTGTAGGATCAGAAACAAGTTAAGCATCGCAGTGTTTTAATAAGTTAGTTAGCTTGGAGGGAGAAGAGCGAGAAGAGCAGAGCAGAGCAGAAATAGTAAAAAAGTGTGTTTACCGTGCAAGTGAACATTGCTTTGAGTGAGCTTGTCGAGCTGTGCCTGGGCAAGCTTCACCTGTTTCTTAGACATTTTGCTGACGCGTGGATGTGGCGTATTAGCAGTAATTTTATTACGCAGCTGCATAGGAAGCCGATGTACCGACAGCTGTTGACGTTGTCCATTTGTTTCGGAGTTCTCATCAATATCCTGGTTCTGATCCTCATCGTGCACGTCCCAAAGCTTTGCATTCTTGAGCTGAGAGTGACGAGAAATGAGTAGGTTCGGACTGGAATGCGGCTGAGTCTGCTGCTGATGTTTTTGCTGAGGCAGCAGGAATTCCATTTCGCGCAGATCCTGGGCGTGGCATGTAATGGCGGTCCTTAGTTTCGATACAGCCCCATGCTGGCTAAGCTGATTCGACCAGCGAAAACTGGCGGTAGGATAGTAAAGAGGATAGCTGTCCTGATTATTGTTAATCTGACAATCAAAGGAATGCTTCAAGCGTAGTTTGACCGGGTCTTCCTCACACGTGTTGGGCACAATGTTGTCTATGTGCGCAAGCGGAGAATCGAGCATTGGGTTTGAAAAATAAATTATAAATGGCAAATTAAACAAAAACTTAGTTAAATGTGAAATCAAAAGCTAATTAGAAATTATGCTTAAGTAAATGAATATATGCAAATGTAAATAAGCCAAGCCAATGGTAACGATATTTGTATGTATATATTTGCTGTATATGTGTGCGAGCTAAACAATTGCGATTGATCAATTATTAAACTGAAAAAGTTGCCTTCTTTTTCATTTACTTTGTTTTATGACCGAAAGCCAATTAAATTAATTATGTGTTGTTTTAGATATGTGCTTGTGCTATATGTGTGTGAGGGTGTTGCATGTACTCAAGCACCGCTGGATTAGAACTCCTTGGTAGTCAAGCATCAAAAAGACCCATCCGAGCAACCACCGGTAGCCACCCAACGACCGGCACTCAATCAGCCAATCACCCATTTTATACAATATAGATATATATTGCATATATTAACTTCCGCATTATCTGTATACAGTATACATTTCTTATTCAATGAAAATCAAGATGTCAAGAGAAATAAAAATAAGCTATAAAGTTTTTGTCTTATTAAAACTATATCAGAGACAGAGACTGGACTGTTATACTCTTATTTTAGTGGACAAAATTGGAATAATAGTGGAAAATTACTGTACAGTAATAGTTTTTCTTTGCTATGTAAATTTTTTGTTATTCAGTAATACTTATTCAGTACTCTTTAACTGATATACTGGTATAGATAATACTGTTACACTGTTATAAAGAAATTTTCTTTTCTGGGTGGGTTGAGTGGAGCGCCGATGCTACTTGCTTACCATCGTTGGTATAATGACCGCATGGTTGTACTGTGAACGTTGACGTCGATGCTGCCGATGCAGTCGGCGTTTTCACCTGGCAGAACTTGGTAAGCTCGTTGAGCGTGTGAAACGATTTTTGACGTATGAAATGCGCTGGTGAACGTAAACAACTGCCCATCTGCAGCCTGTGTGGGATGTGGTTCTTATCATTGAAATCATTGTCGTTGTTGCTCTGGTGGCATCTGCAACATTAGACATGTTCACAAAATTGTTTCTAAAGCTTAATTATGTAATTGTAGTGAAGCGCTTGTCCACTTGATCGCAGCCTTGGCAGCTGGCTTCAATGGATTCAATAGCATCAATAAGCCGCTTTGAAAGCACATAATCCATATATATATCATAATCAACATTCAATGTAATCACACAATCCGTAAAGATAGTTGAGAATTTATTGTTGAATTGAATTTGCAATTGAGTAACTCATTGCCACTGCAACAATTATTAACAAGAATTCTACTTTAAGCAACCCCCTTACTAAACAAATCCATTAACCCTGATTCGCTATTTTCAATGTCAATAATACATACGAGAGTTTAAATATGTAAATATATGCATATGTACGTATTTAATTTAACTTCAGTTCTAATTTAGTTCAATGCATTAGTTCGCCATTTATACAGCTGAGCAGCAAATGCCACATGACAAGGTTTGACTTACAATCAAGTAAGTAAACACTAGTCGGAGTTGCCTGACTATGAGATGCACTGAACCCAGTCCCATTTTCAATGGGATCAGAGTATATTAACAAACTCTGATAACACATTCACAAGGAAAACAATTAAGAATATGAACTGATAGAAACGCAAACTAACTTATCACTTATGAAAAACGAAAACCCCGAGCACGGTTTGCAGTTAGACACCTACGACTGTTTAGGTAGGGCATCGGCTTTCTGATGGTAGCCGTGCGCATACGCGTGGTTCCATAGATGCCCAAAGAGGCATAGCGCGTAATCTCTGCTTGTAGTGGATCCACGTGTAACTGAGCCGTTTCACAGGGACTCTGTAAATAGCTTTCGGGTATTTGCAGCAGCTTGCAGGCTTTGCGAGGTAGTGCCGCGCCAACAGGCAGTGTGGACATCAGATTGTTAATTTCCAGATCCTCATCCTCATCCAGTAGTTGCTCTTGCAACATGGTTGGGTTTTTGCTTTTGCTCAGCACGGCAACCTTCTCAATTTCATGCCACATGCACATAGCTTGGACTGCCTTCGATTTGTTGAAGGTTCTGCAGCTGCGACTGTGCGAACGCAAATGCGGTCGAAGCTTGAAGGGTGATTGGAGTGACAGAGCTGGGCTATGCAGCTTGCTCTTGAGGCGCCGCAACGAGGCGCGCACCGAATGCGAGCGACGCAACTCAGGCAGTTCGTCAGACTTTTCATCTTTCTCCCTGTTATCCTGTGGCTGTTCCTGCTTGTGCTGCTGCCGTTGTTCTTTAAGTTTCGCATAGGAGATCAAAGCACGACGTCGTTCCATTTTGTTTTTGGGTTTTTTATTTCATCATATCTTTGACTGTATTTCAAGAGCCTTTTTGTTTGTTACATGAGTTTCTGAAGTGTGCGTCGCGTTTACAAAATGAGAACTGAGGATGCTTCGTGATTTGATTTTATTTTCAACTACGTATAGAACTTGCTATCTCTTTCTGAAGCCCACACATAATCTTCTCTTCAACTTGCTCACTATATCTGTCCCTCTCTTATTCACATAGGTAGCGAGCTCTTTATTAATAATCAGGGTTGCATATGCGGTTAGGTAGTTCACTTTACTCTCTGCCTGCCTCTCGATCGCTTTTCCTTCTATGTCATTCTCTCTTTTTAACCCCTGTTAGTTTAGCATAATTGTTTTGGAAATACCATATAGGCTGTAGATCTAGAATACGCCACGGCATGTCTTTTAAGAGTTGGTCGTTACATTTCTTCACCACAAGTGAACATTAACATCGAAACGAAGATGAAATAGCATTGTAAAGAGATGACTCATATAATATATATAAATATATGTATGTCTTGCTAACATAATTTTGTCGAACTATTCGAAATCGTACCTGTGGCTGGACATGTTTGTTTTTCAAAGGAATTTCAAATTTCACTTTAAATGCGTTTAACAATTCGGCATATTCGAAATTTTGATCTAAACAAGAATCTGTTGACTGCCGCGTACCTAACTCTTGCTGTAGTTGTGGCGGAAATAATATTTAAATTTAAACAATTTTTTATTATTTAAATGATATTATTACTGCTCCTATTAGATTGGAAACATACATATATCAAAAAATATTTTTAGCTTGCAATGGTGAATGCATATAAATGTATGCATAGTGAAAAATACAGATTTTTACATTATTTTAAATTGCCTTCCTTAAATACTTAACTAGTGAATACATTTGGGTTATATATCTCTTTATAGATACACATATATCTTACTTAAAATTATGGCCTATCATATATTTCCTTTTATATCTAGATATACAAACATATAGATTTGATGGAATCACACCTTAGGCATTTCGAACATTTCACACAACTGTTTATGTCGCCATACGTTTTTATAACCTGATCCTATTAAAAAGTGCAAATCAAGGTATAATGCTTTTCTTAAAATGTTTCTGCCTGTTACATACATTTTACCAACACGATTAAACCCTGATCTCACTTTTTCAATTAAATCAGGATATAAGTTAAATTAAAGTTCATGTTGTGTTCTATGCTGTCATAAATGTCAATTCTAATACACATTAAGTCTAAGACAGGCGACGACTTCGTTTAAATAAATTTGCCGCTTCCTCAATAGAAGGCAATCCATTGAATAGTCACTGAAGAATTATAAAGAACTGGCTTAACAGTGTTCGAACTGACTCTGCGGGTCTCCCCATTGCAACTCAGTGAGCAAAAAGAATATTTTATATTTTTCAACAATATGAATTCGCATTATGCCTTGCCTTGTGTAAACTTTAGCGGAAACGCCAATTGAATTTAAATAGTCCAGACATTGTGGAAATATATATATATATATATATATATATATATATATATATATATATATATATATATATATATATATATATATATGTATATAACAGAATGGTATTAAATGTTTTATATACATACATATATATATATATATATATATATATATATATATATATATATATATATATATATATATATATGATAAAACATAACCGTCTTTTTGCATTCGGTTGTAAAATGTTCTCTTACAGTAATCTCACCTCATCGTCCCCATGTCTATTTTACTGTGCCATTATGCTAATCGCATTCGATTTGTAATAAGTTTCCTTTTCCCTTTCTCGAGAGAATGAGGGACAAAGTCAACCTAATTATAGATAGGTATGTGAAAATGGCCTAAATATACATATACGAGAATATTCTTAAGGTAGGGGACAAAAAAGAAATGAAATCGAATAAAATCTGAAAGTCTGCAAATACAGATGACGAATTCAGTACGCATGCAAACGTGTTAAAGATGTGGAATCTGTGAGAGCGGAGCAGGAGAATGAGGCAAGACGAGAAGGGAAAGCGAATGGGTGTGTCTTGCTCATCCTTTAAGCTTTGACCTGTGCAGCTACCATTTGACATATGGAGCAATACCTATTGTTGTTCATTTGCATGTGTATGTATGTGTGTGACAAATCAAATCCCTGCCTTGTGGACCCTACATGCTATATTGCGTAAGCAACATTGGTTCGAATCTTGGTGTCCTAAAGTTGGTTTTTATTTGGGTTTTTTCTTAATGCTCGATATCTCCTAGTTGGGCACTCCGACTAGAGCTTTGTTACTGGTCAGCGGTAAACTAGGCGAAAATAACTTAATTTTATACACACTTCTTACACATCACTCTCCAGGGTATAGGAATAATTCTTTGGGAGTTTCATAGTCAATCTGCAGAGCCCCGGGCACGTGCTCAAGGGTAGTTAATTTTAATCCGTCAGTCGGTGACGTAAAAATAAAACCGAAAAACGAATAGAGAAAAACTGTGAACTGCTAATAAAATTTGGTTACATTTTCGTGGGAATGTGCATAGCGTCTTGCTGCAGAGCCGTAAAAGTGCTGCAATAGTTCAAGTTTTTCATAGCGTTGCATATTTTAGACAGAAAGTCACAGACAACCTCTGTGTGTGTGTGTGTATCTGTTATGGTTTTACTTACCTGTTCATTGTGCGGCGTACTTCGAATCGCAACACAAACAACTTTAATGAAACCGACGGCTGCGAAACTGCTGCAAAAACTACCACACAGCACATCAATAAAAGCAAAAAAACAACGTGAGTAACGCCAAAATATTGCGCATGTGGGTGAGGGAATGAGATGCAACTGTATGGAATTTCTCCAAAGGATCGTTGCAGTTATGCTGCCATTAGAGTTTCGTAGGTTATACACTAACACTTTAATGTGAAGAGCTCGTTGCATATATCACAGTGCTTAAAATAATTCTTTTGTTCACTTATTTAAGACAACTTAATTGAGCAACAATAAACTAGTTCCCTGTTTGGTAAGCCAAAGGCCTGTGCTTCTGTCCGTGCAAGTCGCACGAGAGTCCCGTGTAAATTTTTTGAGTCGAGCTTATTCTCGCACAATGGGAAAACAGAAAAACAAGCAAGTTTACTTTCACTGTAGCTATGGTTGTAATTGTTGTAAATTTTATTCAAGCTCAACAGTTGAACACGCAACGCAATTACAGTTAGATCTACGATGCTGCATCTGCTGCTGTTTTTGAGGCACGTAATTTTAAATTAACATTGCAATGCCAGTAAATGTCAGTGGCAGTAGCTGCAGTCGGTAGCCAATTTATGTTGCCCTGCGTCTGTTTGTTGTTGTTGATGGTGTTGTAGGTTGTTGGTTCAACGTTTCTTTTTAAAACGAAAGCGACACGTTTAGTTTTTGACACAACCAAGTACAACAATAACGAATGCACGATCATTCGTTAAATTTCGTTCACTCTCTCAGTTTCTCGGTTACACTCTCTTTATGGCGTCGACGTCGACGCAGATAACTTAGTTGTTCTCTCCCTCTCACAACACACACATACACTCACACATTTGCGTCTGCAAACAGGTAGTTGGAGATACTCGCAGAAACGTAACGAAGCAGAAACGAATACGCTAAGCGTTGTGTTTTATTGTATAATTTCTTTTTCAAGCCACTTTTTATTTAGCGACAATTTGTTTAGGAACGACTAAATTTATATATAAAATATATTTTTTACGGATCACTTTCGTATGCATTTTGAACACAATTTGAATCTTCCAATGGATTTGGTTTTTATTTGTTATTGTAATTTCAATCCGTAGACGACGTATCGCGTGCTGCGCTTCCGACAAAAGTCGTTAGTCAACTGAAATGGAAGTTGCAGCGACGGCGGCGGCGAGCGAGCGAGCTAGCGAGCTGGAGCGTCAACGTCTTGGACGACTGGGCATCGTAATGGTCAGTGCTCCACTCTCATTGCTCAGTTGACGCTCTCTGTTAAAACGTAGTTCCCATTTCGTAGAATTGTGCAGCGCATAAAAAAATGCTGACGATCGTTGCTCTTAAGCTTGTTATATTTGTTCTGCTGCTGCTATCGGAGAAAACCAGCTTTGGATACCAAAGGGGCCGGGCTAGCCTTCAAAGCAAAATAAATAAATATACAAAAAGAAAATATTGAAATCAAAGCCGCTTCTTTGCGGAAGTTGCTTATAAACTTAAAGACCACTTTGCGAAAATTTTATTTAAAAATAAAAATTGAAAATGAATTAACAATAGTATTAAATTATAATTTTTTTAATACTATTGTTAATTCATTATGTGTGCCAAAGTTTGAACTATAGTTGTATCATTGTTTTGTTTTTTTTTTGGTTTGTCTTGCTACTTTATTTTTTAGTTTTGCAGTTGTGTGATTTTTTTTGTGCATTTTGATTTGCTTTGGTTCATTTAGATTCTCTTTGCGCTTTGCTGTTGTCACATCATTCTCGGGGCATCGTTTTTATGCGTTTTCAGGAGCTCCAGCAGTTGTTGCTTAAGTGCGAATTTGAATTTCAATCAGTTTGCCAGCATCGTCGCCTATTGCCCTGCTCTTGCAGAACAAATAAATCAATGCTCCATGAGCTACTGCTGCTTTTGCTTTTGCTTCATCAGCTGCCAATAAGATGTGGCCTGCATTACTATACCATGAGATGGGCAAGACTTAACACGATGTGTCCGTATCATATTGTATTGTAAAACAATACTCATGTTTTAAACATCTTTCTGAATTGTAACGATTGATTGGCACAACATAGAGGTCAATAAGTCAGAGTTTAGTTCGGGGAAAGATGATTTGAAATCATTCTGTATTCATGGTAAAATACAGAAGTCTGCTGTTTACCCTCTCTGTTAACCCTCAGCTCTCTGTCTTAAAATCATTAAGGCGAATCATGATTATCTCTTGTAAATTTATGTTAATGATTATTATACGAGAATTAGTAAATTGAAAACTGAAGTAAAGTGTATTTTACTCGTGATCGTACTCTTGCTCGTGTTCAGCATTTGTTTCTCTCTAGCTCTGCTCTCTCTTTTTACGCTTACTTTATTCTTTTGCCCCTCTTCACTTACCATTAATAATACGGGTCAGCTTGTTGCGCCGCGTCGATGAGGGACTCAGCATGCTCTCACGTCGGCTGTTGGCGGCGATGCTGCTGCAGTTACCTAGGTGTTGTGGAAGTTGATGCTGATGTGGATGTGTCGTTAGGTCGCCATAATTAACATTCAGCTGGGCGTGCACCTGGGCGGAGGCGGCTGTAGCGGCCGCAATGCTGCTACATGTTGAATACAGGCTGCTCGCAGATGGGCGCTTACTGAAGGGTGTGGGCGTGGCCACCACACTGCGTGGCACGTCCAGCGATGGGCGTGGCAGGTCACTAAACACGATTTCCGCAAAAGAATCGATGCTGGCCGAGCGCTGTAACGCGCTGCTGTCCTTGCGCCTGCAATAGAGGGAGTTTGGGGTAACTTTCAAAGAGTGGGCTGAATAATTGTTCCAGTTGCAAGTTTAAAACTATTGCAATTACTTCAGCTACAACTTACTGAAGTCAAGTAAAACTGCGCGGTCAGTGGCCCGGCCTAGTCACCCTTACCATTATCAATAATATAATACATACACTCTTTTTATGGTCCGGCTCTGTCCCAGCTGTTTCTGCTAACTCTACTGTCTTTCTTCCGCCACACGTTGTGGCAAAATTACGGTTCAGTAGCTGGTATATTAACGTGACACCAGTTTGACCAGCATATAAAAGTACAAATAAAAATGCTCTAGTTCGACTAGGAGATACCCTGAACATACTCCAATCTGCGTTTTTTTAAATTTCAGTAGACAATAGGTCACCAAGATTCGAATCAACATTGCCTACTTGACATGCGCGTGCTATACACAGAAAATAAGAAAGAAAAAATACGGATAGTTACATACATTTTAACAAAACCATTATAATCAACTTCCAATCGATTATTGGAGTTATTAACTGACTGGATGACTGATGTACTGATTGAGCAAATGACTTCGTGTCTCTTAATTATACTCCCTGAACATTCAAATTTCATACATAAATTTTATCAACTAATTTCATTACTTAATCTCTGGGACATATGATTTATTTTCTACGATGCTGATTTTCAGAAGGTTCAGGTTAAAATTAATGGATCATGGAGGGTTTTCTACACGCTATCGTATTTACTGCCTTTTTTAATTACCTGTGCCATTTCCATTGGAAATAAGCATAGACAATAAAATATTTTCAAATTCATGTTCTACTTCTTTATTTTTCTGTCTGTCTGTCCGTCTGTACGTATGTGTAAACGAGTCAATCTCAGCATCTTTAAGGGCTAGAGACTTGACATTCTTTTTGGAGGTCCGTGTAAAGCACGCACATATCATACAAAATTCGATAACTGTTCCCGTCTTATTGTTATTGATTTTATTGTTATAATCAAAATGCAGTTATTAAATTATATTTCGTACTGCTTAAGAGCTAAAGCATCAAAATTTTTATATATTTTTTTATACAATTTCGATTTTTGTTATATTTCCAATTCGAACTTTCTAATTTCAGTAGCCTATTTAATAAAGCCGCTTGCGTCCCAGGAAGCGTGTCCAAAAAATGTTAACACTATAAATCTAGATTATGTACACATATGAGTTTATGTATACATACGCATATATCAAAATTTCAATCTTCTAGCTTCAATAGCTACAAAATACTTTGCGCAATTTGGCAATAAATATAGAATAGTTTTAAGAGCCAAAAATGGAAAACCAGTTGTAGAAGATATATATATAAATAGAAAATAGAAATATTTAGAATTTGCATTCAGCCAACGTAACAGAATAAGCCAGTTGGAGTCCTGCCACTCAATTAAGTAGACTTTCAATTAGAAGCACACACAGGCGTTAATTTGCCGAGACCTAAATACACTTAATCAACGAAAAGTCAATCCAATTACGACTGTTACGCGCTACACATATGCTCCGCTTTGTGCTTGTCTTACTTTATGCCCCTGCTCCATGCCCTGTTGCAAGTGTTGCGCGAAAAAGTTATATTCATCATTATTGCGAATGTCGTGTAATTTCGGCGAGCAGTCTTTGACACATTTTATGGGGAGATTCAGCTCTAGTCCTTGTTATTCTGCGAAAGAGTGTGTGTGTGTGGTTTGGCTGACAGGCAAAAACCCTACAATGCAGATGAGTTTGTGGAAAGCACTTGGGGCAGCCACAAATAAAACAAATTGAGAAGGAGCAAAGTCAATAATTATAATTGTTATTAATGTAAGACTGTGCCTCAGTGTGTTTCTGTATGCGTGTGTGTGTCTGTACCCTAAGCAGCACTTCAACTATATAACAAACTTTCAACTGCTCGCTATAAGTCAACACAAGCTGAAATCAAGAAAAACAAACAATATAGCCTATGCTAGCATATTAGCACCTTTTTCTGTCTACAGGGTATTTTCGCATTCATTTGCTTCATTTAACATTCATTTAATATACATATAAGCAAGAAATTTCAAAAGATTTTGAAAATCACCTTGATACCTATCGGGTTACTATAAGTTCAGCTCTTTGGAACTGGCTCCAAGTCGCATGTGAAGTCGTGATAATATCCCTTTTTATATCCTGATCCCATTGAAAATGGGAAATCAGGGTATAATGGTTTTGTGCAAATGTATGTAACAGGCAGTAGGAGGCGTGGCCGATCCCATAAGTATATATTCTTGATCAGGACGACAAGCCGAGTCGATTGAGCCCTGTCCGTCTGTCCGTCCGCAAGTCTGTCCGTATGTGTGAACGCGTGGATGTTTTGTAGATCCGTGTATAGCACACGCATATCGAGTTTGTTTCAAATATTCGATAACTATTCGCATTTAATTGTTACCGAATAAAAACATGATTGAAATGCAGTTATTAAATTATATCTCGGACGTCTTAAAAGCTAGAGCCTTCAAATTTTGTATTTAGTTTTATGTATATTTTATGCAATTTGGATGTTTGTTGGATTTTGGATACCGACTCCAATTTTCCCCAAATTCTTAAATTTTAAGTTTAGTTGAAAATAGAGCCATTATGTGACGGTGTTTGCATCTCTACCAAGCCAATAGAATATATAGATCATAGGCTCAAAATTTCATTAAAATCCATTAAGTAGAACAGAATTAATTAAACAAAACGTTTGGCCAATTTGCAAAAGCACATGGCAGCAGCGCCACGCGCACGCATTTTTCCTATGCGTGTGCACACATACATTCAAATGCATGTATTCGAAGAATCGAAATTGCGCTTGAATTGTGCTGAATTATTAGCTGCTACTTATGCACAAATTTGCAATGTCTAATATACGCAGTGCAGTGACTGCATTGGTAGAGACGGCGTCCATTAGCAGTTAGTCCCGGGATCAAGCTTCGCGGCGATTATTATTTTTTTAAATTATGAAGTGGCGGTGGTGGTAGAGTTGGTGCACATTGCGCAAACAGTCCGGGTCCGAAACCAGATATTGCAATGTCGTTTTTTATTTGTTTTTGTGAATACTCGATAGAAACTACGGAAAATATTAATAAACGCAGATAGGACTGGAATCAGGGTATCTCCTAGTCGGGCACCCGGACTAGAGCTTTCTTACTTGTTTATTAATAGAAACATTTTTTAATCGGAATGTTCGCTTGATGGCCAAGCAACATGTCACTACGTAGTTGCTATGGTAAAAGCTTTTGTGAATACAATAACTTCTCACCAACATTTGTGATACGAAATAATATTGTTTTTTATACCCTGGACCCATTAAACGTATCGATCTCAGCAGATATAAGAGCTAGAGACTTGAAATTTATTTTTGGCGGTCAGTGTATTCAAATAATCGATAACTATTCTCGTTATCACCGCCTAACGCATATACTCGCTCTCATTCGTTAGGGATGTATGAAATCGGGAATACTTTATCTTTTCAAACATTAATGCTAATATTTAATGCTACATTGGGCATAACGAAATTTGAACTTGGATATAATTGATAATTGAACAGTTTTACAGCTAGTTTAGCATTTAATATATCTTTCTCCCTTGGAGAGTCACGGCAGACTTTAACTTTTTTGCTTGCCCAACACGCTAAGGGCAAACTTTTATAAAATGTTTCAGTACGCAATCGCTGGCATGCACATGTGCTGGCCGGCAAATGAGCTCCACTGAGTACGTGCAAGTGAGTGCGTGTTGGTCTATTTTGTGTGTATGTATCGCATGTCATATGCGCAATTTTCCTTTATGCTCAACTACATGTCAGTCTGTTCGACTGATTTGCTGCTGTCCACAACACACACAAAACTTAAATTAACAGCAACAATAAGCGAAACTAAGCCAGGGAGCTGTGGCAACACACAGTTTTATTGGCTGAAAGCGTTTGTTCTTTTTCCTATACCCTGTACGAGGCGCATTCAAATTGTGTTTCAAATCAGTAATCTTACAAATATATTTTATTAAAATATTATTATTATTATTGAATATTTGAATCTTTGAGAATGACGGCGTTCTATTTATTGAAATTGAAAGTTAATTTTTTATTTTTTGCTTATCAATGACTGCAGAACCGTAATTTTTAGCCACCATTGATTGACGGACTAACTGACTGACTGATTGATGATAAGCACAACACTTAACCAGTTTTTGGCGGTTTCAATTTATAAATGTTAGCTTGTGTTACTAAATTTACTTATAAAGTTTTGCATACATTTATGATTACTGGATCGATTCACAATGTCCTATAAACAATTTCTCAGGGAAAAATTTAATAAACAATTTCTCAAGGAAAAACACTTTTTCTACCCTATTAATGATATTTGTCTGTTAGGGTATTTGAGATAAAGCGTGCTACTAAACGAGTTCTAGATTCCTTTTTTGTTTTCATTTAATAAATTTCTTGTTTGCCTTTGTGGCTTATGAATAATGTATCCGCAATTAAGCGCGTCGGGGTCAGGCGAAATTCTGCTCAACTTTTATATCTTTTTCTTTGCAGCTTACTGATTTTTGTTATTCCTATTGAAGCTACTCTTGTGTTTTGTTGTTTCCTAAATTTTTTTTGTCTTAATTTAGCAGCAATTGCAGCAAACACAAACTTTTACAAAAAACTAAAGGTTAGTTCAGCTCGGATGGGTGCTACCCTTTAAATAGTTATAATAATAGTTATAGTAATAGAATATGAAACAATAATAACATTTTATGTCTGTACGTAATACCAGAAATATAGAGGCAAACATATATATATATATATATATATATATATATATATATATGTGTGCTTTACGTATCTATAGATGCTTTGTTTTGGCCTACTAAATATATATTTAATGGGCAAGCAAACTTTAAACTAAACTAATCTGACTCGCATATAAATTAAACGGAGAAAACCGCTTTAATATAAATACGAATATTATCGTATATGTCAAAAGGTTCAAGTACCCTAACCATTTAACAATCTAAGTTGATTTCGCAGTGTTGGAGAACTTTATCGATTATATGGTACAACTGTGTTCTGGGTGTTAGTGAATGGACAGACTGACATGGATCAATCGATTTAAAGTTGATTCTGATCAAGAATATATGTACTTTTAATGTCAGAATTAGAATTCAATGGAAATAATATACACATTATACATCTAACTTCAATAAATAAATAAATGTCTTTTAAATTGTATTTATTTTATCCGATTGAAAATGTAGTTGAATTCGCTTTGTGAAGCTGGCAAATATGTAAGTAACTCTTAAAACTACAGCATTAAGCGTAGCTGGGGCAAGCTGGGGCATGTCTCATTTGTTGTAAAGAAGGAACTAGAGAGAAGTTCAATGAAGATAAATGCGTGGCACTCGAGTAAGTCGCGTCACCGAATGCCAGCTTACCGAATCTCACGTACTCGCATCCAGCCAACAATTAAGCTGCCACCATAAAGCACGGAACAACTTTGCCCGCAGAAATGAAATTAACTAATTACCAAAGCCAAGACAAGGTAACCGGTCACACCGACAAACTGACAGACAGGTGGCCAACAGTTGGATGGATAGATATAGATAGCGTTGCACAGGCATGGTGTCACATGCCAGTTCCACATAGACTCCATACTCACCTTTCCCAGGACAGACGACGCGGCGCATCCTCGCCTAGGCCTAATATGGATTGACTGTTGGTCTGATGTGCCCTCGACCTGGCCTCTATGACGAAATTTTCACCGAACAACATCGGCGGCTGTGGCAACAGAGTGGATCTTGATTGATGCAGCAATTTTGCCAACCGCGTGAACGTCGTATGCGCGCCCGACCCGCTGCTGTCGGTAGTGGCAAAATCGTGCAGATGATGAGATTCCCTCACCATAGGTGTGGTCGCCTCCGAGCCTGTGGTCACATGTTTCTTTCCACCCAGGCGATTCGGATAGCCGCGTAATGGTGCCGCGGCTTGTGGTGAGGGTATCCTGTAATAAATAGTCAAGTGATGTGATTACAGCACAAAGCCAAAGTTCATATGTCACGTAAGTATACTGAGAAATAATAATAATAATTGAGTGAGTTGTACAGTCAGTGCAATTTGGCTGTAAAGGTGAGGATGTAGCTCATCACTTCCCATGACAATTCCCTCAGTTTGTAAGACTTGGCCTTAACTCACCTAAGCAGAAGCGAACCATCAGCGTGGCATTCGAAATCATCGGATAGCTGATAAGTCGAACTATCGGCAACATGTTGCTGATGGAGGTATAAATTTTGCTGTGCCACTTGCTGTTGAATGGCCGCATGTGCTGCATGTGCGTGCGGCGAGCTGCCCGACGATTTTCGACGATAAATCAGTGTGCAATCATCTTTTGGTAAATTCAACGACTTCACCATTAGCGTGTTGTTATTGTTGTTGCTTAAATTGGTGTTGTTGTTGTTGTGGGTGCCACTACCACTAGTTGCACCACCACCAGTTCCACTGCCAGCGCTGAGCACAGACCAACGATGGCCAATGGCGCTGCCACTGCGGCTTTTACAATCTGTGGATAAACATTTTGAAATATAACAAATATTATTTATGACTTTTACCATTATGCATAAACTGTATGCGGGTGCATACATGTGCGTATGTTGCATTTTAGTTGCGCTCGACTGTTATTCAATTAAAATTGAAATTGAAAATTCGTCGAAATGATTTAATTAATCTTCGCAAGAGTGAAAACATGTATGCCTTCAAACCACACACACGCTCACTCTAAATGCCAGCAGGTTATGCAAGGCATAATCTTGAAGGTATAATCGATCCAATCAGCAAAAATACATAGCATACTTTTGAGCTACTATTTATGGCATATTTATTAGACCAAGTGCTCTTGCGTTGTCGTCAATGTAGAACACATCCATAAATAATAATTCTTGAATTCTGTTTTAGACCACGGCGACACGTGTCTATCCACATTCATTTTTTTAATTCGTATATATCTATAGTTGCTCGATTTTAAATGTTGCGGTTGTTTGGCACATTTACATTGAATATTGACATGCAGCTGATATTAAAGTAAATAGTTCCAAGTGAAATTAAAAAATATGCCAAAAAAAACTAGCGAAAATGTTGGAGTTGGGCGTCGTCGATATCGTAATGCTAATGATTTATGAGTTCGATATATTCACAGAGTTAGCTTTAGAGCAACTGCTGTGCTGAGCAGTAGTCTTCTAGAAGTGTAGGGTTCGATGGGTTGGGTATAAGCGATTCGGAAAAGTCTTTTCTGTGGGGTATTATTTCAGCAATAATATGTGCGCATATTCTATATAGAAATATTTTTTATATATTAGTTTTAAATTAATTACTTACCCAAGTGGAATGGCTGTGTATGTGTGCGTAGCGAGACAACCGGAAGGCCAGGTACAATAATAGCGGGCAGAGTGCGCGACCGTAACAATGGCGGAAATTTACGGCTGCTGCTGAGCGACTGTTGACCGTTGCCGCTCATGCATCCACTAGCGCTATGCTGTGCCCTGCAAGATATAGAGAAAGAGACAAAGAGACAGAGAGACAGAGCGAGAGAAAGGCGAAGAGAGAGAGAGAGGGAGAGAAAGAGAGAGAGAGAGAAAGAGGAAGAGAGAGAGAGATTTTATTGTAACAGTAACATTTCATTGAAAATAGTAAAGCCTGATTTTTTCTTATGTTCTGTCCCCCACATCAGCCCATTTTCCATGCCTATGTAAAACGTTTACATGCATACCAAATCTGCAAAGCTGTCAGCGGCACAAGGCTTTTAGCTTCATTCAACCCACCGCTTCCTGCCCCTTGACATTTAACAGCTGTCAACCCGTTTACAAATTGCTCAACTTGACGTATGATTGCATTTCTGGCACTCGATGCTGCCTTTGCCCCTATATCTGATACTGCCTTGCTGCTCTGTCTCCTACTGCTGCTGCTGACGTCGACTGCGTTGCGTAGTAATTCCATGTAAGTGCAGTTACGCCTATATGTGCTCACTGGCAGCAATAACACTAAGCCCGCCTTGATCCTACCAGCTGACCTAGATGACATATGAACAATTACGCATATTGAAAATTTGCAAAAAATATAAAAATATTTTTTTTTCGATCAACTCTTATTTTCTATATTTATAATAAACGTACTAGTCGCAAATTATTATTATCTACGAAGGCAAGTAAGAACGATGCAATCAGAAGCGACTGACTGCATGACAATCGCTTACAGAAAAAAAATAGTTAAGTTTACTCGTGGGCGCTTCAATAGTAAACCAACAGTTCCTCGTGAATTAACTTTGATTATAGTAAAAAATGAGGTTAACAAATTCTCTAATTAGAAATCTTTTCTCGAAAAAAATAAATAAATCTCTTTTTAAGGATTATTATAGTATTTTCAAAGGGTTTAGTTTAGATTTGAATAGAGATTTGAAGAAGTAAAATAATTTTCTGAGAAACCTACATAGTGAATATATTATCTTCTACAAAATAATATTTCTTTAACAAATTTAACAACAAATACACTTCTTAAAGCCAGCTAAACGCGCATCCCTACAGAGCACAGCAGTCGCTTAGCAGCCTAGGAAATTTAGCAGCCCATAAGGCGTCAGGATGTCGGGTCGCCTGTTTGTTGACAGTATACTCATTTGCTTTGGCTTTTGCAGCTGGCCAAAAGTGTATGCCCCCACCGCTCGTTAACCCTTTTCTCAGCCAACCCCTCCATAAAAAGCAGTACCTGCCCAAGCATAACTCAAAGCGGATCTACATAATTGACTCACAACCACAACCCATACATTACGCAACGACTTGGCACTTGGTACCTTTTGGCATTGTGAGGAAACAAAGAAACTTGGCAGCTTACCAAAATTACCGTAAAATACTTTAAAAATAATGCGACAAAAAGTTTGTTCAAGTATATAATAATATAATATTATAAGGATATAAAAAAGACTAAAATATTATAAAGTTAGGTTTCGACCCAAACAGCTTACCATTTGGTAGCTGATCTAGTGTTGATTGTAAGCCATGATTTATTCTATAACTACATCAACAAGTGATTCGACAAATATACTAAGTCATGGACAAGATAAAAGCTAAAGGCTTATAAAGTGAACTGGATTATAGTTCAACGCAAGTCAGAGTTTCATAAAGATGTTATAGTAATAACTTAAAACAAGTAAGAAAACTCTAGTCGGAAGTGCCCGACTACGAGACACCCATAGCTTGTATAAAACTTTAAAAAAAAATTAAATAAAAACCGACATTAGAACACCAAGATTTGAACCAACATTGCCTACGCAACGCGTATCAACTCTACCAACATGTGTGTATGTGTGCACATGTATATGAAAAATGCTCGCTTAGTGCTCTTTGCGACGTGCATTTGTAAACTTTAAGGAAAGAAATTTAAGGATTTTGGAAAAATTCAAACCCGGTATAAAAAAAAAAATTGTAGAAAATATACATAAAACTAAATATAAAATTTGGAGACTCTAACTCTAAAGTCGTACGAGACATAGTTTAATATCTGCGATTCTATCATGTTTTCAATCAATAACAATACAACGGGCTCCCGTTGTATCAATTACTTGAAACACACTTGATATGCGCAACAAACTTGATAAAATCTCTAGCTCTTATAGATGCGGAGATGGGGTCTGCCATGCCTTCTTCTGCCTGTTACATACATTTGCACAAAACGATTATACCCAATATATATATCACTTTATACGTCATTCATTATAGAGTATCAAAAAGGCAGTCAGAAGTAGTCGGGTTATGAGCCAGCATGCCTCCTGCTAACTCTTTGACATGAAGTTGTTGCTTTGGTGCTAGGACCACGCCCATTTCGATGTTAGCTTTGGTTAGAAACGTGTCACATTATTGACTTTGTCAAAAACTTTAAGTGTTTTAACAAGCGTCACGCCCAGCCGGCGCTTAAAGTCCACATTTAAATGACACTTTCCCCTTTTCGTACCTGGCAAGGCAAGTGAATATCTCAGCATAAAAAGCATTGTCATTACGCAGATGCAGCGAGAAAAATAAAGAGCAATATAGGATAAATATATATATATATATATATATATATATATATATATACATATCAATATATATATATCAATATATATATATATATATAGGAAAAATATATATACATAGGATAGGGATAGACCCTGACAGCTAGAGCTCGCAGTGCTAGAAGGTAAGCAATGTATTCATTAAATGCGTGGTACATTGTAAGTTGCATACACAGTAAAAAAGTGAAAAACGTGATAAATTGTTGTTAATCAATAAAATCACTAATAACATTTTATCATTCAATTGAATTTATTTCCAGCAGCTATTGCGCGGACACCATATTAAGTACCCGCGGTAGCTGAAAGCTGCCAGAAGCTCAAACTGCTGCTTATTGGGATTTGAAACGCAATCAGAGTACGCAAATTGAATGCGACACAGCAATCTGAATTTTCATCTGCCTCAGTTAAACTTTTTTATGAACTACCTTTGAGGGAATTCGAATTCTACAAAATAAAAGAGTGTTACCAGGCCTAGTTACTTTAGAATTCCATCTCGAAAGGCTTACAAGATCGATTACCGATCACAAATTCAGCAAAAGAAAAAGCATGCTAACTAACAAGGATTTTTAAAGGCTCAAGCCTATTATTATTTTATTATTATTTTAATTACTGGATAAACCTATTCCCAACACTATATGCCGACAATTGTAAAATCAATTAAGTAAGAACCTAACTTAACACGGCAAATGTGATAAATTCAACATACTTGGAATTTCGGCGTCTTAATAAGCTAAATCCTTGTTAAGTCTCAAGTTGAAAAAAACAGAAAGACCAAAGCAAAAAGGTGCTAAGGGAAAAGCAATTCAGGCAAAACAGAAAATGACAAACAACTCTGAAAGGAAGGAGAAAAATGTGTAGGAAGCTAAAAAGTGTTGTGCGGGGCAAATGGTGGGCTTTCACTTACTGTCGGTCCTTGCGTTGTTGTCTCTTCTTCTTGAATGCCTTTTTTACGCGCAGCAGGAGAAATGCAGCACGATCCACCGACAGGGTACTCTTTTTTGTTGCTGAAGTTGTACCGCCAACGCCCTCCATGGTGGGGTTTTAGTAGCTTCTGTCGCTGTTCTTGCTGATGCTGCTTCTGTTTTGCTGTATTTAAATTGAGATGTCAATGGGCGCAATGAGCTCATATAGCAGCTACCAGCGTGTTAGTTTTGACGCTACAAGCATAATGCTCTCTCTGCCGCTATCGGCACTGCCGTCAACGTTGGCCGCGGCTGGCATTAGTATGCGCCTCGCGCCTTTGGTGTTGTTGTTGTTTTAATTTGCCGTTTAACTTATTTCCTGTGCGTGCTTTGTGCTGCTGTTGCTGTTGTTGTTCTCGCTATTTTCGCTTTATGCTACGCTTTCTTTTATTATTTGAACTATTCTCTTATGCTCTGTGGGCTGTCCGGTGTATCTTTATATTTATAAATACATACGCCCCATGTCCTTGTCACAAAAACTCCCCACACACATACTAGACTCCCCATACCTTGTTGTTGTGCTAGCTACGCAAATAATTTGTCGTCAGCTTGGTACCCGCATACATATGCACTCACACTCTCACTCTCACAAACACACGTGATACACATCTTAAACGTGAGGCATCTGAAATGTGGCCACTTTTTTGCAGTAAGTGCCCATTCTCTGTCTCTCTCTCTCCCTCTTGCTCTTCGATTTTAATGTGTGTTTATGAGTTTTATTTATGATTTCTTATTGCAACTCTTATTGTTTTTAAGAGCGGTGCGGATTTACGACTTTATGCATTGAAATAAGCAAAGCTTTTCTGTGTCTGGCAATATCTATACGTTCAAAGTCAGTCAAGGATCCAAGAACATTTGCCATGTGGCACATATTATTATGCCAGAAGTTGAAATTCATACGGTAAGGTTGCCCTACTCACTTATAACTGACAAATTCATGGAAATAAGATAAGGTAAGGTATTTAACGAATAATTCGAATGTTGTAGACAAAAACGTCTACTATGGTTTGGGTATCTTTTAGCTACAAACTCTCGCTCTTTGTAATTGCTTTGAGGGTAACTGAATGCGTACGGCAGGAAACGTTTTGGTTGATTGTCTATTTTCGGCACTTAAACAGTTAACAGAATGTCTGTCAGTTGAAAACTTCCCCTCCTCATGACAGATTAACACTCAGGACTCAGTTGAAGCTGCATGTGGCCCTGCTCAGCAAATCAATTACGGATTAGCTGTCAATCTTGTTAGTGTGTCAAATGTAAGCTATGTCAAACTTATATTCAAAATTAAACCTCTCGCCCAAATACCCTCTGAGTCGCCTTGCCCATTTCACAGCTCCAAACACTAGCTGTCTATTTCCTTTCTCAACTTTGAATTCACACACCTGCACTGTAAGTGGCTGTTTATGTGTGTGCCTGGCTTGAGTAGCAGTTGTCTTGATAAAAGTTAAGCTACTGCTGCTCTGATGAGCTGAGCTGAGCTGAGCTGTGATTTGAGCAACAAACCACAAAGCGCATAAGCTCTGAATTGTAGCTCAGGCCAAGGCCAGGGGAGTTTACTTAATATTGACTTACGAACACTTTCTTCACACAATTGACGGCTATTTACTAAGGTGGTTGCGCTCTGATAGCAGAAGGGACGGCAACGCCTCCTGCTATAACCAAATGCTGATTGACCTTGAACAACTTGTAGTCAAAATCATCAGCATTAGTAGAGGAAAGCTTCACTCAGCACAAAATGTAAGTTAATTTAAAGATGATTATAAGATCTACGCTCCGTCTTTTATAAATGACGTGCGAGAACTCAATGAGAGACAGAATCTGGGTGACAGAGAAAGACGGGTAGATAGGGTAGACATTAATGAGCTACTATCATTACAATCGTCACAATTGTTACAATTTCGTAACTATCGTTACAATCTATACACCCTTACTTACTGTTATTATAAATAAGATGTAAAAATACGTTCTTTATCTATATTGAGTTAGCCATAAGGCACTATCTGTAGCTTGTCACTCTGCTGATTCGTGTCGAAGGCAGCGCTTTGTAGATTCAGTTTAACAGATCTTCGGTAAAGGCAAACTGCCCACAAAGATAGTCAATCAATCAATCAATATATTTATCTATTTATTTGTATCTCTATATTCCAATATATTAATTTAATACATGGAAAGCTCCTTGCAAATACAAACATACACAGCCAAATTAATTAATTGTTCTACATGCATTTAGTAAATCGTTGGTTGTAGTGAATCGCATTTAATTTTTAGGAAATTTCATTCATGTGGTCGACTAATTGCGATAAGACATCGAGGGGAGTCCTTTGATCCATTATGCATAACTGCCTTCAGCTACAAAGGCACCGAAATGTAATTGACATTTGCTCTGTGATTGAGCAACATTGAGTTGATTGAATATATACCATACCACTGCAATGCGTATACCGTAAAGCCTAACAGATGACTGTCAATTTCAGCTTTATATTTGGGCTGTGTCTCTTGTTAGTCATTTGCACTATGCCACGCCTGGGCGTATAAATTGGGGAATATGACATTTAATTTGTTTGGCATCAAGTGGACTTAATTTATTTGTTGTTACCCTGCTGTGAACAGTTGCGGTCAGCTGAGGAAAAGATGCCACAATAAAGCAATAATTTTTAGAGGCAGACGAAAAAGCAGGTGGAGGGTATGCGCTTGGGCGTCAGGATAACAAAGGACAAGCCCAGAAATGCACACAAGCGCATGATACGAAGTCGTTTGCCTTTTCACTGGAAAACTTCTCAGGACACAGTCAACGTTTTACGTGCCTTTATTAAGGATATCGCAGAGCACGCGCACACATTTAATCTTTGTTGTACTGTTAGCTTTTTTAAAGCTGCATAAATTTTGGACCAGGTTTGTTTTGCATAATTTTGTTGGGCCAGTGAAATCTCGCACCGGGCAAAAGACATTTTTTCATTTCCGACGAATAGATAAGGGAAACAACAAAAAGGATAAGGGCATTATAGTCTACTAGTGCATACCCTGTAAGTATTCTAGTGTATAGATTCGAGTTTTTCATCTCCAGCTAACGTCTTGATGGATGGGGCGTGTATTGGGCAGCAATCATTCAAATAATCGGTAGTTGCAACAATCCATAAAATGGCTAATATAATAAAATATAATAAAAACGCGAAGTGCTCGCACTAGCGCAGCATCCTCCATTACAACAAAATTGTCTGGCAAGTAAAAACAAGTAAGAAAGCTCTAGTCGGGGTGCCCGACTAGGAGATACCCTGATCCAAGTCCTATCTGCGTATTTTAATATTTTCCGTAGTTTGTATCGAATATTAAAAAAAAAACATAAAAATCGACATTACGTCAATGCGCATCAACTCTACCAACACCGCCAATTGAATCGCAATTTCGATTCTTCGAATAGAAAAGATTACGCGTATTTGATATATATATATATGAAAAATGTGTGCGCTTGGCGCTGCTGCCATGTGCTTTTGCAAATTGGCCAAACGTTTTGTTTAATAACTCCTGTTTTACTTATTGGATTTTAATGAAATTTGTAGCATATGATCTACATATTATATTGTAAGAATTCGGGGAAATTTGGTGCAGGTATCCAACATCAAACAAAAATCGAAATTGCAGAAAATACACATAGACGTACGTATACACTGACCCACAAAAAAAATTGTCTAGCTCTTATAGATGCTGAGATCGACGCGTACACACATACGGACTGACGAAATGGGCTCAATCGACTCGGCTTGTCGTTCTAATCAAGAATATATATACTTTATGGGGTCTGCCACGCCTCCTTCCTGTTCATACATTTGTATTTTCCATTTTCAACGGGATCAGGGTATAAATATGTTGCAGGCAAACCTGGCACTGCCCGGCCAGCCGTGCATCTGTCCAGCCTGCCCCGAGTCTGGATCTGTTAAAAAAAAAACGAAATAAGTGCAAATTTATGCAGCAAATAATTAAAAGTAGCGTAGCGCTCGACCACACCTCCTCTTTCCTCGCCCCCCTCGACATTTGACTAGCCCATCGGGTACTTGACTTTTGTTTCACTTTAATTCGCCTCTACCTCATTTACAACGAAGGCGTAGGTTTTTTGAGACTCCTTTACGACTGCCATAAAACCAATTTTAACGAAGTTTCAACATAAAAGTTGCACATTCAGACCCTATGTCCTTTGCCATATAACCTCTCAGTTCCTCCCACAATCGCCTCAATAAGGTCTGTTTGCATGGGCATAATTGAGACCTTAACCTCTTTTTTGCATCGCCCTCCAGCAGGGACTGGTAAGTTTTAGCGAACACTAAGGCCAAGTGCTTGTAAAAAGAGGCAGCACTAAGATGTTCACGTAACAATTTTGATGTCTCTAGTTTATATATTCGCCTACCTAAGCCTTCAAAAGAAGTGATATGCAACACATTTTCAATGGGTATGAATAGCTAAATTAATTTTATGGTACTGTCCAACAATTTGTTTGTCTCGCGTCTACGCTTGTACGAGTTTAAAAGCTTCAAGCAACAATAACAGCAGCAGGAATTTAGCAGTGGGCGGGGAGCTCGGATTACGTGGTAGCCTAATTTATAGATTAATTGTCAACAATCAATGTGCATGGCTTTGCAGCTTAGCCGACAATTTGTTAGCCAAAAAGTTAGAGTACTTTAGTTGGGAGGGCCTGACTAGGAGATACGCTCACCTATCTGTGAAACGGCTATTTCATTTATAAAGCTTACACTAAACTACTTTGAATATTAAAAAACTTTTGTTTTTAAAGAGCGTAACAATGACATGTGTGTGGTTGCCAGTTTCTCTATCTCTGTATTCATACCCAAAACATAGATAGTAAGTCTGATGAGTTATTCAAGCTGCGCTTATAAACACGAAGTCAGTAAATAGAAGTAGTTATAAAAAAGAAGATATGCTTAGTACTCTGGTACACAGAAATGTAAAATTTTAGGTCTTTAGTATTTTCGGCATTTGAGTTGTGAAAGATTTTTAATTTGTGGTGCTAAGCCAGATCTGGTGTGTGATGCACACATTTTTTTACACTTTTGTAATGAAAATGAGAGGGAAATTGGGATATTATATATTTCGTAGCAACGACTCACTCAGTTACTCTAAGAAGCATGGGAGCTGTACTATTATTTCGACATAATGAAGGACCAGAAAACGAAAGCAACAATTTTCATGAGTTGTATGTATTTTTTGTCAACCAGGCTGTTAATCGGATTGTTGGTCTTTTGTCTGCCTCAAAATGGAACCTTGATCAACCGCAGTTCGCAACTAACACGGTTGTTCCCGCTTCTGTTCTCTCTCTCTCTCTCTCTCTCTCTCTCTCTTTTGTGTCCTTACTTGATTGTTTGCTTTATTTGAGGTGCTTAGTCAATAGTAGCTGCCAAGACGAGTCCAAATGGTACTTATAGCCGTT